CAATATCATTAACATCACATGCAAATTAAATTTTGCAGAAGATAATTCAAAAATGGTTTTGCAGAAGTAGATCAACAGGGAACTGTGAGAAATTCAAGCCAGATTCAGAAGAGAATGTGGAACGAGGGATATATCATTGCTAATGTCAGACGTTCTTCTTATACAGTCCAGCTTCTTGGAGAATCTGCTCAACATACAGACTGAATGAGTATGGTAAAAGGATACAACCCTGATGCACACCTCTCCTCATTTTAAACCATACAGTATCTCTTTGTTCTATTGAAACTGGCTCTTAGTCTGTGTGCAAATTCTGCATAGACACAATTAAGTGTTCTGGAATTCTTTGCACTGTTATCCATTTGTTATGATCCACACAGTTGAATGCCTTTACACAGTCAATACAACACAGGTAAACATCTTTCTGGTATTTTTTCTTTCAGCCAAGATCCGTCTGACGTTGTTGTTGTTGTTGTTTGCCATCGAGTCGGCCCAGACTCATAGTGACCCCTTCTTGGGTTTCTGAGGCAGTATCACTACGGAAGTAGGAATGCCCAACCTTCCTCAGAAGGAAGGTTGGGCATTCCTACTTCCGTAGTGATACTGCCTCGGAAACCCAAGAGGAAGGTTGGGCAATTCCAGAACACTTATGTATTACTGTATGGTTTAAAATGAGGAGAGGTGTGCATCAGGGTTGTATCCTTTTACCATACTCATTCAGTCTGTATGTTGAGCAGATTCTCCAAGAAGCTGGACTGTATGAAGAAGAACGTGGCATCGAGATTGGAGGAAGACTCGTTAACAACCTGCTATATGCAGATGACACAACCTTCATTTGCTGAAAGTGAAGATGCCTTGAAGTACTTACTGATGAAGATCAAAGACTATAGCCTTCAGTATGGGTTACACCTCACCATAAAGAAAACAGAAATCCTTAGAACTGAACAAAGAGACAACATAATTGCAGGAAATATTGAAGTTGTCAAGGATTTCGTTTTAATTGAATCCACAGTCAACACCCATGGAAGTAGCAGTCAAGAAATCAAACTACATGTTATACTGGGCAAATCTGCTGCAAAAGACTTCTTTAAAGTGTTAAAAAGCAAAGATGTCACCTTGAGGAGTAAGGTGCAGCTGACCTAAGCCATGATATTTTTATTAGCCTCATATACATGTGAAAACTGGACAATAAATAAGGAAGAACAAAGAAGAATTGATGCATTTGAATTATGGTGTTGGCAAAGAATATTGACTATTACCATAGATTGCTAGAAGAACAAACAAATCTGTCTTGGAAGAAGTATAGTCAGAATGCTCCTTAGAAGCAAAGATGGAGAGTATTCATCTCACATACTTTGGACATATTATCAGGAGGATCCAATCCCTGGAGAAGGATATCGTATTTGGTAGAGAGTCAGTGGAAAAGAAGAAGACCCTGAATGAGATGGAGTGACACAATGGCTGCAACATTGGGCTCAAGAATAGCAACAGTTATGCTAAAGGCATAGGACCGAGCAATGTTTCATTCTGTTGTAGGTAAGGTTGCTGAGTTGGAACTGACTCAATGGCACCAAACAGGAATAACAGGTACAATAATGCCATGGATGGAGGTTTTGTAAGAGAATATCCCTTATTTCCAGGAAATGCAGCAAATATATTAGGAATAAAGTATTACGATGTTTAGAACTTACTTTTAAATGAATTAGCAAGAAGATACATAGAAAGCAAATATGACACTATTGATATTTGAATCTAGGTGGGAGGTATATGAATAGTTAGTACACTATTTTGCTTTGTAAAGGCTTGAATTTTTTAAATTGTGATTTAAATGAAAGTTTACAGAGCAAATTGGTTTGTCTATTCAACAGTACATGTTGTTGCTTGTTGTTATGTGCCGTCAGAGTCAGACCCGACTAATAGCGACCCCTCCTTGGGTTTCCGAGGAAGTATCACTATGAAAGTAGATTGCCCAACCTTCTTTCTGAGGAGTGGCTGGTGGGTTTGAACCGCCAGCAGTCAAGTGCTTTAGGCACTACACTACCAGAGCTCCTCAACAATACATACACTTTGTGTTTTGTGACATGCATTGTAATTCCCACAATGTTATAGCACTTTTCCCACTTCCTCCCTGTGTTTACTGTCTAGCTTTGTCCTTTTTATTCTTCCTTTTTTTTTCTTTATTTGAAGGACAGAAAGAAGCCAGTGTGGCTAGAGCATGGTGAATAGCAGGCAAGCAGAGGGCAGAGAGATCCGAGAAGTGATCAGAGGCTCGGTCAAGTAGAGAATTACAGGGCACAGTTAAGAGTTTGAATTTCTTCCTCCTAATTTTTTGTTATGAAAAATTTCAACTAAGGTGCAACTTTTGCTTCCATCTGGAGCAAAGAAGAGTGAAAAATATCAAACAAAGGGAAACAATTAGTACAAAGGACTAATGGACCATGTGGACCCCAGCCTCCGTAATTATGCCATAAAAAATAAAATTATGCTTTCTCTTTTTATTCTCCTCCAGCTCTCTTGAGCCCCTTATCATTTGGCCTGCTAGATATCTTCAGTTGGCTGTGCCACAAGCACCTCATTTCATCATTGTTAGTTGTTTGGTGAGGTTTGGTGGTGTTAAGAAGGTATCAGAGTCAGAAGAACCGAGAATACTTGAATTCTGCCCTGCCAATCACCACTTTGCCAGTGTAGACCCCAAAGGAAGGTCACAAAACAATGGCAAATAAAAAATAAGGTATCCCTTTATTGCTACCTGAAGTGATATTTGATGAAGAGAACTCTGGAAAATTGGGATAGAAGATGTGCCTTAGGCTTACGCTGCAGACACACTCTCTTCTGTTCCTTAGACCCAAAGCAGATTTCAGGATCTCTGCCCTTTTCAACTGGACATATTTCTGAGGTTAAATGATAAAAAGAGAGATGAGTCAGGTGACTGGGCCCACCTTGAAAAGGAAGTTTCTAACCCTTAACTGAGAGGACGAGAAGGAAAAGAGACCAACCAATATGCTTGACCTTTTAAAGAGCAGGAAAACATCACTTAGTAAATTAGTGTTTTGGAAAAGAACAAGAGGAGGTCCCCTAGGGTGGGAAGTGAAAGTAGAAGAAAGGAGGATGACCTGAAACCATCTTCCTCTCCAAGACTTGTCTTGCCTTCTGCATTCCCTATCTTAGGGACCCTCAGCATGTTCTACCACCTGCCCAAGTCAGAAACCTCAGACCCTTGAGGTCTCCCTATTTCTCAACACCCTCGCTTGTACTGGGTTCACTTTTATTCTGGTTAGCTAGTGCCACTCTGACAAGTGTATACCACAAATGGATGGCCTTAACAAACAGGAGTTTATTCTCTTACAGTTCAAGAGGCTAGAAATCCAAGTTCAAAGTGCCAGGCTTTAAGGGCTGGGTGAAAGCCCCTCAGCCTTGGGCTTCAGCTCTGCCTCCTACTCACGGCCTACTGAAGCTAGAGGGTTTTCTTCACTCAGACAGCTGCTGGCTGCTGAGACTGACAAACCCAAGGTGGACAAATAAAAAGGCACAGTCCTGATGTTACCAAACGACATGGTAGGCCATTCATTCAAATCCATTGTAAGTCCCAAGGTCGGCAGAGCATGGCAGGCTGCTGAACAATGACACAGCTACATGCAGGGTTCAAGCGTGCCATAAGCTGGAGACCATTCCCAAAGCTGCTGCTTATATACAGGAAGCAGACCACATCCCTGAAGCAGCGACTCAGCTGCTTGTGGTAGATCCCACCATGGAGTTGATTGCCGGTCTCATCATGGGTAAAAACTATCATCAGCTTCCCAGCCACTCAACCAGGCCCAGCCAAGTTGACACACAAACTTAACCACCAAAACTTCCTAAAAGGTTTCAAATACATCCATACTGCTGTAACTCTGCTCTACTTTAGTAACAATTATCAACTTTGGTTTTCTACAAAACCAAAGTTCCTAGCTGTTGTCCTGTTTTAGATCTTACCCACTATCAAGTGCCTGCTAGAGTCATCTTTCTAAAATGCAAAATTGGTCAATCATTGCCCTGCTGCAGACTTCAGATACTACTCATTGTCCTTACAGTAAAATTCATACTCTTAAGGAGCTGACAAAACATGGTAAAATCAGACCTCTGCTTTTCCAGCTTCATCTCTTAACATCTCTTCCAACAGCTCCATGCTCTAGCCACACTGAACTCCTTTAGTTCCTCAACCTGTACCCTCATTCTTACCTTTGTCTGTTTTATTTTCTCCACCCTTTTCCCTATGTCTCATTCCTCTTCATCCTTTAGATCTCAGCAGCTAAAGATAAAATGTCTTTATATTGTTGTTGTTGTTATTATTTGCCATCGAGTCGGCCCCAACTCATAGCGACCCCTCCTTGGGTTTCCGAGGCAGTATCACTGCGAAAGTAGGAATGCCCAACCTTCCTTCCGAGGAGTGGCTGGTGGGTTTGAACCGCCAGCCTTCTGGTTAGCAGTCAAGTGCCTTAGGCACTATGCTACCAGAGCTCCTGTCTTTATATTATATTAGAACTGGCATATTCAATTTCCTGCTAAAGTCTCCCTAGCAGTCTAAACTTGGATGGCTAAGTCCACCTGTGTTCTCTCACAACATCCTGAGCTTCCTCATATTGTCACTTAACCCACTGTATGCCAGCTTTGGGATAAAACAAGTACTTGACTGTCTTTCCTCACTGTGTTCTGAAACCCTTGATGACAGAACCACTTCTTGTCTCAGTCAGCATTATACCCCCAGATCCTGACCAGAGTTGTCACTTAACCCACTGTATGCAAGCTTTGGGATAAAACAAGTACTTGACTGTCTTTCCTCACTGTGTTCTGAAACCCTTGATGACAGAACCACTTCTTGTCTCAGTCAGCATTATACCCCCAGATCCTGACCAGAGTTTATTTGATAAATACACAGGAGGAGAAAATGCTCAAATTATCTTCCTTGCTTGTTTGAGTTTTTGTACTAATAATAACTAATAATAATGTCTTCAACTTTTCTGCAGGCAGACAAGTTGTTAAAAGCCTTGAAAGCTCACCTTAAACAAGAAGCAAGGAAAGAAAATGAGAATCAGGTGAGTAGCATTTTTCATCACCTATTAGCAAAATAATCATAGTAAGTTGTTGAGTGATAAACACAATTGGTGATGATTTAAGACATGCTATTTATTTACTGAAGAGATCATTGTTAGTAATAGTGCCAGGGATGGCAGCTACCACTGCCATCCACTTGGAAGGGATGTAGGAGATCCTGCATAAAGAGGGAGAACAATGTGGTACAAAACTCAAAATCATTTGGAGGCAAAAAAAAAAAAAAGGTGGGGACCAGGTTTGCAGGTCCAATGGAGCCTGGTGTAACCACTGAGACTATGGCCCCTAGCTGCCCTTCAGGTCTGGAATTGAACCCACAACTGTGGTTTCCAGCCAAACAAAGTACAGGCATGTGAGTTAAACATTTACCTCAAGTAGACACATGCCCTGGAGAGAACAATCATGGGAGAAGGAAGGGCTGCTTATGCACAGGGAGATAGCTCAGGGTGCAGAAGAGTATGAAGGGATGAACACTGGGAGGAGGTAACTATGGAGAGGAAGTGGGAGGGGAGCTGCTGAATTGTAAATTTTGGTCAATGACATGAGACAAAGTATATGTGAACTGCTGTATGAAAAGTGAGTTTACTCTGTAAATCTTCACCCAAATCCTAAAAAAAAAACCACCGCCTGGTCCTGCACCATCCTCATCGTACTTCATATGTTTGAAGTAGAAGAGGAAATGGATTGCAGCCACTGTCAATCCATCTTGTTTGAGGGTCTTCCCCTTTTTCGCTAACCCTCTTCTTTAACAAGTGTGGTATCCTTCTCCAAGGAATGGTCTCTTCTGACAACATGACCAAAGTAGGTGAGATGAAGTCTGGCCATTCTTACTTCTAAGGAGCATTCCAGCTGTACTTCTTCCAGGACAGATTTGTTCATTCTTCTGGCAGTCAGTGGCATTTTCAGTATTCTTTGCCAGCACCACATTTCAGAGGCATCAACTCTTCTTTGGTCTTCCTTATTCATTGTCCAGGCTTCACATGCATATGAGGTGATTGAAAATATCATAGCTTGGATTAGGTGCATCTTCATCTTCAAAGTGACATCTTTTTGTTTTTTAATTTTTATTGTGATTTGGTTGAAAGTTTACAGAGCAAATTCATTTTCCATACAGCAGTTCACACACATTTTGTTTCATGACATTGACTGCAATTCCCCACAATGTAACAGCTCTCTTTCCACTTCCTCCCCATAGTTAACCTCTTCCTTGTGTCCTTCCCTCCCATGCACTCTTGCCCCCTGAGCTATCTCCCTGTGCAAATACTGTGCTTCTGTTCTCCCATGGTTGATTCCTCTAAGGAGTGGGTCTACCTGATATAAATGTTCATGCTATGCCTATCTGTTGTTTTATTGTAAGCCATGGGAGTGAGTTCAGTTCCAGATTTGAAGGGTGACTAAGGGCTATAGTCTCAGGGTTCTCACAAATGCTATCAGACCATTAAATCTGCTCTTTTTTTATGATTTTTAGTTTTGTTCCACATTGTTCTCCCACTCTATCTGGAATCTCCTGCACTGATCCCATTCTGAGTGGTTGACAATGGTAGCCAGGGACCATCTAGTTCTTCTGGTCTCATGGTCATATAGACTGAGGTTTGTATGGTCTTCTAGTCCCTTGGACTAATTGTTTCCATACATCTTTGGTTTTCTTCATTTTTCTTTGCTTTGGATTAATTGTTGCATCTAGATGGCCTCTTGCAAGCTTTCAGGGTGGCATCTTTACTCTTCGACAATTTACAGAGGTCTTTTGCAATAGATTTCCCAAGTGCAATATGATGTCTGATTTCTTGACTACTGCTTCCCTGGGTGTTGATTATGGGACCAAGTGAAATGAAATCACTCAGAACCTCAATCTTTTCTCCATTTATTGTGATGCTGCTTATTGGTCCAATTGTGAGGATTTTCATTTTCTTTATGATGAGTTGTAATCCTTTCTGAAGGCTCTGGTCTTGATCTTCATTAGTAAGTACTTAAAGTCATCTTCACTTTCAGCAAGCAAGGTTGTGTCATCTGCATATCACAGGTTGTTAACAAGTCTTCCTCCAATCCTGATGCCACATTCTCCTTCATATAGTCCAGCTTCTCAGATTATGTGCTCAGCATACATATTGAATAAATAATGGTGAAAGGCTACAACCCTGATGCACACCCTTCCTGATTTTAAACCATGAATCATCCCCTTCTTCTGTTCAAATGACAGCCTCCTGGTCTATGTATAGGTTCATTGTAAGCACAATTAAGTGTTTTGGAATTCCCATTTTTCTCAATGTTATCCATAATTTGTTATGTTCCACACAGTTGAATGCCTTCTCATAGTCAATAAAACCCAGGTAAACATCTTTCTGGTATTTTTTACTTTCAACCAAGATCCATCTGACATCAGCAATGATACCCTTGTTCCATATCCTCTTCTGAATCCAGGTTGAATTTCTAGAAGTTCCTGTGTATATACTGCTGCGGCTGTTTTTGTATTATCTTCAGCAGAATTTTAATTGTGTGATATTAATGATATTGTTCAATAATTTGTGCATTCCATTGCATCACCATTCTTTGGATTGAGTACAGATACGGATCTCTCTTCCAGTCAGTTGGCCACGTAGCTGTCTTTCATATTTCTTGGCATAAACAAGCAAGCACCTCCAATGCCACATTCATTTGCTGAAACATCTCAATGGGTAATCTGTCAATTCCTGGAGCCTTTTTTTTTTTTGCCAGTTCCTTCAGTGCAGCTTGGACTTCTTTGTTCAGTACGATTGATTCTTGATCATACGCTACTTCATGAAATTGTTGAACATTGACCAATTCTGTTTGGTACAGAGACTGTGTATTTCTTCCATCTTTTGATGCTTCCTGCATCATTCAATATTTTGCCCATAGAATCTTTCAATATTGCAGCTTAAGGCTTGAATTTTTTCTTCTGTTCTTTCAACTTGAGAAATGCTGAACATGTTCTTCCCTTTTGTTTTTTTGGCTCCAGGTCTTTGCACATTTCATTATTGTTTTGGTTACCTAGTGCTGTGCTGACAAGAATATACCACAAATGGAATGGCCTTAACAAACAGAAGTTTATTCTCTTATAGCTCGGGAGGCTAAAGTCCGAGTTCAAAGTTCCAGGCTCTAGGGGTTGTGTGAAAGCCCCTTGACCTTGGGTTTCAGCTCTGCTGCTTGTTCCCGGCCCAGTGAAGCTAGCTACTGGCTGCTGAGGCTAACAAGCCCAAGTTCGACAAATAAAATGGCACAGTCCCGATGTTACCTAACCATATGGCATACCATTCGTTCAAGTCCATTGTAAGTCCCAAGGTCAGCAGAGCATGGCAGGCTGCTGAACTACGACACGGCTACATGCAGGGTTCAAGCATGCCATAAGCTGGAGACCATTGCCAAAGCTGTTTCTTATATACGGGAAGCAGGCCACATACCCAAAGGCAGCTAGCAACTCAGCTGCCCACAGTAGATTCCACCATGGAGTTCATTACCATTCTCATCATGGGGAATATTATGTTCAGTTGCCCAGCCACTCAATCAGGCCCAGCCAAGTTGACACACAAATATAACCACCACAATTATGATACTTTACTTTGTCTTCTCAAGCTGCTCTTTGAAATCTTCGGTTTAGCTCTTTTATTTTTTTGTCATTTCTTCCATGTACTTTAGGTACTCTCCATTCAAGAGCAAGTTTCAGAGTCTCTTCTGACATCCATTTTGTTTTTTTCTTCCTTTCCTGCCTTTTTTATGACTTTTTGCTTTCTTCATGGATGATGATCTTGATGCCATCCCACAACTCATCTAGTCTTCAGTCATTGGTGTTCACTGCATCAAATACATTCTTTAGTTGGTCTCTAAATTCAGATAGGATATAATCAAGGTCATGTTTTGGCTCTCATAGGTTTGTTTTAATATTCTTCAGCTTTATCTTGAACTTACGTATGAGCACTTGATGGTCTGCTCTGTAGTCTGTCCTTGGCCTTGTTTTGCCTGAAGATGCTGAGCTTCTCTATCACCTTTTCCACAGATGTAGGTAGTCTGATTCCTGTGTATTCCATCTGGCATAATCCACATGTAAAGCTGTTGTTCATGTTGTTGAAAAGTAAGGATTTGCAGTGAGTAAGTAGTTGCTCTTGCAAAATTCTATCATGCGATCTCCAGCTTCATCTCTAACACCAAGGCCATATTTTCAAACTGTTGACAATTCTTCATTTCCAGCTTTCACATTCCAGTCACCAATAATAGTCAATAAATCTTGATTGCATGTTTGATCAATTTTAGACAACACAAGTTAGTAAAAATCTTCAGTTTCCTTGTCTTTGGCTTTAGTGTTTGGTGCATAAATTTGAATAGTAGTAGTATTAACTGCTTTTCCTTGTAGGCATGTGGATATTATCCTATCACTGACACCACTATACTTCAGGATAGATTTTGGAACATTCTTTGTGACAATGAATGCTACGCCATTCCTCTTCAACTTGTCATTCCCAGCATAGTGAATCATATGGTTGTCTGATTCAAAATGGCCAAAACCAGTCTGTTTGAGCTCACTAATGCCTAGGATATTGATCTTTATGCATTCCATTTCATTTCTGACAACTTCCAATTTTTCTAGATTCATATTTCTTACATTCCATGTTCCTTTTTTTTTAAATTGTGATTTGGATGAAAGTTTACAGAGCAAATTTCATTTTCCATACAGCAGTTCACATATACTTTGTCTCATGACATTGACTGCAATTTCCTGTAATGCAACAGTTCTCTTCTTACTTCCTCCCCGTAGTTAACTCTTTCTTGTGCCCTTCCCTCCCATGCACTGCTGCCGCCCAAGCTGTCTCCCTGTGCCTACACAGCCCTTCTGTTCTCCCATGATTGATCTCTCCAAGGGGTGTATCTACCTAATGTAAATGTTCAGCTCATATACCTGTCTTTTCTTTGGCTGGAAACCACAGGTGTGGGTTCAGTTCCAGACCTGAAGGGCAGCTAGTGGCCATAGTTTTAAGGGTTCTACCAGGCTCTATCAGACCAGCCAACCTGGTCCTTTTTTTTTTAAATGATTTTGAAATTGTTCCACATTGTTCTCCCATTCTATCCAGGATCTTCTACATAGATCCCTCTCTTGAGTGGTTGATAGTGGTAGCCGGGTACCATGGAGTTCTTCTGGTCTCATAGTTATATAGGCTGAGGATTGCATGGTCTGCCATTCCCTTGAACTAATTGTTTCCATGCATCTTTGGTTTTCTTCATTCTTCTTTGCTCTGGATGAGGAGAGACCTAACGTTGCATTGGATGGCTTGCAATCTTTTAAGTACCCAGTTGCTACTTGCCAAAGTAAGATGTGGAACAATGTTTTTGTGTAGTATGTTAAGCCAATTGAGCTTGATGTCCCCTGCAACCACAAGTCCAACTACTTTTTCCCTCTGGGTAACAGGCTGTGGTAAAGAAGTGACTACAACCTTGTCTCTTGTCAGCTCTACTATATACCTGGGAATTCTTACAGGACATACAATTACACTTGTAGAAACATTGTCTGCCAACCCTGTGCATGATCATGGGCACACTCCCCCCTGCATAGACATACCTAATTGTTCAGCTTGTCCACCCATTTATCCACCCATATTCCCATGTTTGCCTTCACTGACAATGCAGTACTGTCTGTGCAAAAGGGTTCATCTTTGTTGTCTGTACCTCCCATGCACCTCTCTATGTCTTCCTCTTCCTCAGTGCCACCATGTTGATCACTCATATTTGGTCATGTTCCAATTATTAATGGATGTTTGCAGCTGTTTCTTCCCATTTTGAGTCATACTCCATCAGCAAATAGAAGTCTCAAAAGCTTTACTTCATCCGTGTCATTAAGATTGACTCTACTTTGATGAGGCAGCTCTTCCTCAGTCATATTTTGAGTGTCTTCATAAAGTTTTCCAGTAATATATCAGTGTTTCACTGCTGTTCAAAAGGTTTTCATTGGACAATTTTTTCATTTTCTTCCTTTTTTTTTTTTAATTGTGATTTGGGTGAAAGTTTACAGAGCAAATTCACTTCCCATACAGCAGTTCACATACACTTTGTCTCATGACATTGACTACAATTTACCACAGTGCAACAGCTCCCCTCCCACTTCCTCCCCATAGTTTCCTCTTCCCTGTATCCTTCCCTCCATGCACTCCTGCCCCCTGAGCTATGTCCCTGTGCGTACACAGACCTTCCATTCTTCCATGATTGTTCTCTCCAAGGAGATTGGCCAGTTTTTTCAGAAGTGGATGGCCCTGTCCTCCTTCTCGTCTTTCAATCTGAAAGTTCTACTGAAACCTTTCCAGCATGGGTGAGCATGCTGGTGTTTGAAATACCAGTAGCATAGCCTCCAGCATCATAGTAACACACAAGCCACCACAGTACGACAAATTGACAGACGAGTGGTGATCACATGTGCTGCCACTCTCCAATTTTGCCACCAACCATCCCTCCCACACATCCCTGTTTTTCTTCTGGGTTTGATAATTTGTTGCAGTGGCCACACAGAACTCACAGACAGTACTCACAATTATGAGGTTTATTAGGGAAGTAATGGGTTACAATTCAGGATCAGAAACAATCAATACCATTCTTTGATCAAGATGGGATCTTCTTAGCTCCTTTAGCACACAAGCCTCTCTCTTGCCTTAGCCTGGCCTTGGCCCTGCTTCAGTGTTACAGTGTTCTCAAGTTCTACCAATAAGTGCCCAGAGGGATCCCACTCTATCAGTCAGCGTTGGCCCACAGGTACTTAGCTACCATGTTATCTCTGCTAGTCTTCTTTCTGCTGCTGCTGTTTCTTTGCCACTGCTTCTTGCCTTCGCTTGCTGTCTCTCTAGTATTACAGTTCTCTCCCCTGGGTCTAGGAGTTCCTAGGGCAGGGACCTCAGGTCCAAAGGATGCACCTTACTCCCATCTCCTTGATAGTAGTCAGGCCCTCTCTGTTCTCTAGGATTGGCTCTTTTTTCACACCAGTAATATGGCAAATCCGACCAGTCCCCTCATTAGCATTCCATACACCTTATTTGCATGGTCCTACCCCCACAAGAGTGCCGTGCACCTTGTTTTCATTGTTAGCAAGTTATCCAATCCCATTGGTGGGCCACAAGCACCTCATTTGCATAGTTCTACCCAATCATTTGGTGGGAGTTATAAAGACTGTGACTAGAAGGGCCATGTAAGTAACTGACTGCACCATAAATGTATTAATAATATAGTTTTGTTTTGTTTTGTTTAATTTTTATTAGGATTTGGGTGAAGATTTACAGAGTAAATTCACTTTTCATACAGCATTTCACATATACTTGGTCTCATGTCACTGACCAAAATTTAAAATGCAGCAGCTCCCCTCCCACTTCCTCCCCATAGTTACCTCCTCCCAGTGTCCATCCCTTCATACTCTTCTGCACCCTGAGCTATCTCCCTGTGCATAAGCAGCCCTTCCTTCTCCCATGACAGGGATAGTTTGACTTCTTCCTTACCAATTTGGATGCCTTTGATTTCCCTTTCTTGCCTTATGGCCCTGGCTAGGACTTCCAGTACAATGTTGAATAGAAGTGGTGATAGCGGGCATCCTTGTCTAGTTCCTGTTCTCAAGAGGAATGGTTTCAGTCTCTCTCCATTGAGGGTAATGTTGGCTGTTGGTTTTGCATAAATGCCCTTTATTATGTTGAGGAATGTCCCTTCTAATAATATAGTTTTAATAATTTGTCCAGTCACAGTAAAATTACTTTAATGCCTAGTTTCTTAACTCAGGTTATTAAATGTGATTTTTTTCTTTTTAAATATTCTGTAATTCTTGTTCTTGCCTATGATATAGTTTTAGAGAGTTTTAACATTTTCTTTTACATATGTAGTATGTTTTTTATTCAATTTAAATTCTGATTTTTGCTGAGCTTTATAACTCTATGCAAAGGATATGGTAGATTAATGTCTGTCTTTATAGGATGAAAGTCAAATTTCTGCATCCTCTTGTGATGAGAGTGAGATACAGATTAGAAATCAGGAACAAAGTGTGAGTAAGACAGTCAGATGTTCCACCAAAACACAGAGAAGGCGCAATACAGTTGGAGGGAACCCTGACTCACAGGTGAACAGAAAGCGCAAGACAATCAGAGAGAACCCTGACTCCCAGGTAAACAGAAGTGTGAAAATGAAAATATGCCACCATTTAGGCTAAAATTAATATATTAGGCAATTTTCTTTTTTAATTCCCTTTCTATATCAGGTAGTTTGAGAATCAAGTATTAACATAAATGTTCAGAGGACTGTCTTTCTATTAAAAAAATCTTCGTGACCACCAACATATTTATTCATATAGATCAGTAACCCTACTCATCTGTGCTGGAAAAACACCAGAACTCACAGACAGAATTTTGCAGATGAGCTTACAATTCATGGACTCTAGCTTAAGAACTTCTGAGGTTGATTACTTAGAAATAAACACAAAATACTGTCTTATTCTCTACTTTTGTGTTTATCCCCTTACCCCTGACTTTTGCTCCCCACTCCCCACCTCCCATAAAAGCAACATAGAAAAAACCTCCAAATAATTAAATAAATGTTGTTTGTTTGTTTAAAAAGAAAAAGAAAAGGAAATTTTTTTAAAGATGCTAGTTATAATATCAGTAAGCTGTGCATAGTGGATTTGCCAGATGAAGTTAATCTGTGAGGGTGAGTCCTGGAGTGTACAGAAGGCTCCCCTTCTGGCTTAGCCCCTAACCCTATGTTACAGTGATCCTCACATACAGAAAACTGAGTCCACTTTGGCAATGCCCCATGTCTCCCTGAGAATTGCAGCATTCCATGCACTCTGAGTCCATGAACTCTTGTCTGTGCTATTCATCACTGTACTCTGAGGGCCTGACACTTGGGAAGCACTTGATAAATAGTTGTTGAATAGATGTAAATTCATAAAGTATTCCCTTAAATGAGGTACACCAAGCAAAAAGGAGTTACCAAAATTGAATGTGACTTTGTTGTTTTTTCTCTCTTTTCCTAACTTGCCCCAGACCTGGCAATCACTCTGTACTTAGTGTTTCAGCAGAGTAGTTAAGGAATTAGCCTCAATTGCTTTATCTCTGGTTTTATTGTTCTATTTTATTCTTCCATTCAGATGTTACTTTTATATGCCATGATCTTAATAGGTCATTAGATTATCCAGTGTCCCTAGTATCTCCTAGTCCCAGATTTCACATTCTCATGATACTTGATGAGGCTGAGAGCCAAATCTGAAAATTTTCATTTTCTCTGAACTCTTCTAACCACTTCTCCCTTCAGTTTGGTTCTTCATTTAAATAATTTGTTTCCCTTAAATTTTATAGCAGGATCATTCTGAGTTGAAAATAAGTGATCCCACTGAATTCCAGAATCAGGAGCAGCAGGAAAACCAGGATCTCAAAATTGTTAGAGAACCTCCTTCTCCACCAGATGAGAGCCAAGGAGATGAGAATACAGTTTCGATGGAAAAAAGCAGTACACATGGTATGTCATATAATGTTAAAAGTCCAAGTTCTGCAGTTAAAAAAGTTAGGATCAAATATGGTAGGCAGGCCACATAGGTCATCTTTAGTAAGATGTGCAGAAACCAGAATAAGAATGGTAGCTGGGAAGTTTAGGGATGTTGATCTCTAGTTGGTAAGAGCCAGGCCAACTCCTTTTGTTAGGCTGTTCTTGCTGACTCCAGAGACAAGTAATGTTTAGGTCACCATCCACCATGACCAGGGGCCAGGAGGAGAATAGGGAGGGAGAAGCACGTGGATCAGCTCACCCCATGGGGCGATGGCCATCACCATACGCTAAAATCATTTTTTTTAAGAGTTTAAGGATTCTTGAGACTAGAAAGTTTGAGAACTGCTAATCTAATATTGAGACCTTTCTTTGAAGCAAAGAAAAATCTTGGCTTATACTTTGCATTTCAGTGTCCTATCTCTAATCTGGAGGAAGTTCCTCAGTCTCTCTTTGTTATTCATGACCTTTACATTTTTAAATACAGACTAGTTATCATGTCCCATGGGTTGGTCTGTTTCTTCATGGTTAGATTTAGGTCATGTACTTTGACAGAAACCCCACAAAAGTGATACTGTGTCCTCATGCAGCACACTGGGAGATACAAGTATTGATTTGTCCCATTACTGGTGATGTTAACTCCGTCACTTGGCTGTGGTGCTGTCTGACAAATTGGCTCTTGTGAAGTAACTTTTCCATTTGTAAAGAATAAGTATCTTCAGAGGAGTACTCTGTCTGAAAATTAACCTCGTTTCTCACCCAGCGTTCCCTCTCTGGCTTTAGAACCAATATCTAAGCAGAAGCCCCTGTACTCCCTTCCCCCTAGATCCTTCAAGGCATCTATTGCCTTCTTTTAGGGATGCATTGGAGAACCTTAAGGATGGCATGTTTTTTAGTAGATTACTTCAAGTTGGAAAAAATACAGGAATGTGGCAAGTGATTATGCTAAGTGGGGGAAAATACCAAACCTTACCATCCCAAAAATTTCAATGAGAGTTTTAAAAAACAAAACCAAAATAAGTATAGGTGCAGGGAACCAGAGGAGAAATGCCAAAATGCTAACGGTGATTCAGAGGCTGGTGGGTTTGTGCGATTTCATCATTCTAGGTCTAACAATGTCATACTCATTTAAAAATTCTGAAAAACTTTTGCGTGTGTGTTATTGATATATGTATATAACTTTTATATGGAAGCATATTCCTTCTACCTGCTTTAAATGTATGAAATAAAATTGTAGTGGTGCTATAACATTCTCTTTATGTCCCTTTTGTATCATATCTACTACCACTTGGCAGAGTCTCACTTGCCACAACAGAAATTTCTTAATGGGAAGATGTTATTTGAAATCTTTAATTAGTTCTGTATCTGGATTTAGGTAATGAAGATTCAAAGATACTTTCAAAAAGAAAGAAGTCTTTCCATGAAGATGGTTTTTCAAAAGTTGGAAAAAATAAAAAATCTGGAAGCTCCACTCCAAGTAAGTACTTTGGACAAAGAAACCTGAAGTGATGGTTGGCCCACAAGATTCAGAATGGAGAGGTAGGGTAACCTTGAGCATCAGGACTTAATACTGGTTCTCATTTTCTAGCTTTGAGGCCTTGGGCAACTCAGCCTCAATAAACCCACATCCCCAATGTAAAGTGGAAATGATTATGCTACCTATTTCACCAGGTTGATGATATCTATAAATTAATTGAGACTATTGTTCTCCACCACTGATTGCTTAGCACAACAGCCAGGATGTAACAGTTATTCAGTAAACATCTGATGTCTATAAAGTACTTGTCACAATTCCTACCTGGTATTAAGTTTCTAGTAAATATAAGGGCTTCTAGTTCCAGACATGTAATTCTTCTGTATCTTGTGTCACTAGCACATTACCTGGTACATATGCTATTGGTTGAGTGTTGTGTATTTGTAGTTTTTAGAATGCTGCTCAGAATATATTAGAAACTAAATAAATATTTATATACTTAATTAGAATAGCACAGAGCAGGGTTAAGCAAACTACATCCCACTAACATAAGTCTGCCACTCCTTTCTTATACTCTGGTCTAAACCCACATGTCTGTTCACAGTGAAATGAACCGTCCGGAGATGGAGGATCTTTGATCATCTATAAGATGAATATGGTTTGCCTTTGATTTTCCAAAAACTAAATATTTTGAAATTAAAGTTTCAGCAAAGATGATGTTAAAGTTGAATGTCAGGGATACGGAGAAGAAAAATGAGTACTAGCACAAAAAAGAAAAAAAAAAAAAACAACAGGCAAGGTGAATAAGTGGATTTTGGCTTGTTATTAATTTTCATATTTTGGGGCACATTCTAGACTTTAAGAAGCTTCATGAGGCTCATTTTAAGGAAATGGAATCCATTGATCAATATATTGAGAGAAAAAGGAAACATTTTGAAGAGCACAGCAATTCATTTAATGAGTTGAAGGTATGTTGAAAAATTATGTTCTTAATGGAACTAAAAAATTTTATTTTAATGTTGAAATTATGTAAACACCATGGTTAATATAACCAGCTTTCTATTGTTCTATGTATGGAATGGATTTGTTTGGTTTAACATATCTTTATTAATAATCTTGAAGTTGTTTTTCCCAATGCGGAGACTATCAAAACCCTACAAATAAAGCTGAATCCTTAGAATGAAGAAATAATTCCAAAGTAGCAGTAAGTAGTTCTGTTTTCCATATTCAGATTCTTTGCCTACTACTTCTTCTTGAGGATGGACTAATAGAAGAAGCCTCCTTCTTTCCCCTGTCTCTCACCTAAAGGAGGAGGTGATTAACAGTGGCTAGTTTCAAGGCTTCTTATGGTAACTAAGCTTCTTGGCCTTCTTAAGGTAACTAAGCTGCTTCTGTCCAGGTCTTGCTAGACTCAACGCATCTTTTAGTAAGAGAAGGTGAAGAAAATGGAGGTTGGGTTACCAGAATAGTGAGTTGATAGCATCCTAGAAGGTTCATGTTATTGTCTTACACACTATCTAATGTTCTGGTGTTGTCATGTGCCGTCAAGTCAGACCCGACCCATAGCAACCCCTCCTTGGGTTTCCGAGGCGGTATCGCTATGGAAGTAGATTGTCCAACTTTCCTTCTGAGGAGTGGCTGGTGGGTTTGAATCACCAGCCTTCTGGTTAGCAGTCAGGTGCCTTAGGCACTATGCTATCAGTACTCCTATTTAATGTTCTAGTTGCTGTCAAATTGATTCCAACTCATGACCAAATATATGTCAGAGTAGAACTGTGGTCCATAGGGTTTTCTTTTTTTCTTTTTTTTTTAAATTAGGATTTGGGTGAAGATTTACAGAGTAAATTCACTTTTCATACAGCAGTTCACATATGCTTTGTCTCATGTCATTGACCAAAATTTATAATG